CCCTGTCATTGTTGACAGGCAGCCAGGGTCAGATAAATATTAATTTTCTAAATTTTTTAGGGGCCCCGTGGGTTGGATAGAATGGCCTGGTGAGCTGAATCTGGTCCATCGGCTGTATAGGTCCCCAACTGCTGTCTGTTGTATAGTCACAAATTCTTTTCCCACCTTTTTTTTTTATCTTAGTTATGACACTTTTTCTTGTATCATCATCTTTTCTATGCATTCATCATCTTACCTTTCATTTGTAGCATCCTATTAATTTAGAAAATTTTATTTCTGATTGCTACAATAATCTTTTGAGAGCTTGTGGAACATTACGTTTTAAAATGTGATGCATTCAGGTATCACAGCCAGATGAAACAATGAGGGAAAGGATGGTTGATATCAGCTTGAACCGCTTGATCTTCCACTGTGTTTCCCTCCTGTTTTCCAGGTTTACAAGAGTAACCTATGTGAGCCAGCCTCTTGCAGATATCAAAGCATCTTGTCACTAGTATGACATTATACTTCCTTAATTTGCTCATAATATATTGAGATAGATGTGTGATGTCTTCCAATTACCAGCTTTTCTCTCTTTGGGGTAGCATTTTAATATAATACGTATTTCCTAATAACTGCTTTTTCTAATTCTTGATTTAATTCCTTTTAACTTAAATATCATAAGTCAACTGATGCCATATGATTCTCACAACATGACTTACCTGATTACGTTCACTTACTTTGGAGAAATGAATAATGCCATTTTATCAGGCTTTTGATCAGTGCTCAGTCTTCAATGCCATTTAATAAATCTTTTATAATGTGATCCTGGCCAGAATTTCCAGTTATCTAACAGGCCAACCACAATGTCCATAACTTCATCTATATAGGTCTTTTTTTATAATACTTTATGTCTAAGTCAGTTACATGACATGTCCCGTTTAGCAATATCGATTACTTAGTCAGTTCTGCCTGTAGAAGAAATAGCTCAGACCAAAATGTGCCCTTTTAACATAAAAAAATAAAATTTAGGAGCTTTGTTTTTTGAATCCTGATGATATGGAAACCACTAATGTCAGCTGTTTTGTATTGAAAAAAAGCAAAACAAAATATTTATACATGGTTGCTTTAAAGATACTCAAATAGATTATGTGCCCTGATTGGAAGAGATGCTGAGCACATGTAGTTTAATTAATAGAAGATGCTAGCATTTAGAACTTCTGGAATATGCTTAAAATAAAATATAAAATCTTGGAAGTGCTTGATTATACAACATAAATAATTTACCTTCTGTTATTTGCATACCTAAGCCTCTTTTCTATAATGGTTAGCTATTGTATCTAACCTATTTTTATTTAAGATATTACTGTATTTTAGTATACACTTATGTATATTTTTGCCAAGTGAGATTGATCAACATTTTAATTTGCCAGAATTGCTTAACAGTATTAAAACCAATGTGGTAGGATTCAAGAATGCCTTTCATTGTCAGAATCTGGCCCATTATCTGAACTATTTTAATAACCAAGTCTTGTTACATAAATGCTTCTTCCCAC